AGAAAGAGCCTCAATTCTCGTATATCAAATAATGCAACCAATTCACCACCAGTGAAGTACGCTGCTGAGGCCATAAGATATTATTGATCAACTTCACAGTAGGTATCTTTACATTGTCGCTTGAAGGAGTTGACTGAAATTCCGGCATCAGAGAATGTGTGACCTGAAATTCTCTCCATCGAAGGATGATTGCACCTGAAACACTGATTCATTCAATTCGCAGTCCGGAGGAACATTGATACATCTGACTATCCGATGTACGAGAGGATGCAGGATATATTTCATTAGGCAAGTAAGATTTGTGATAACCGTCGAAAAGCACTGGACAACTGTTTTGTCCTGTTTCGTACTCGTCAGCAATGCATACATTTCATCCCTGTCATGACTGGAATCATGAACATTGGGGTCGACACTTTACGCCCTTACCTCTGAGCTACACGGTCGACCGTCAATATCATCGCTTGCAAGCACAGTCGACTATGTTTAACGAATCTTCAGGGAGGCATTCCGCGAATGACTTTAGAAATTACTTCGATCACCAGTCTAAGACTAGTAGGACTCCGTAGTGTATTCAAACATTACTGATTTACGTTGCATTTACTTTGGGTTTCAGAAGTCTCCACTAAAAATATATAGAGAGAATGAGTTTCAGTAAATAGAGAAAAAGACTTAAGCCATGGTGAAAGGTTCGGTATATTGTTAAACAAAATTTGAATCAAGTCATTGACAGGCAACCGAAAGTATGTGAGATAATACCGCTCGACATTTACCACCAACAAGTACAGACGTCGGTCATTTTGTCGTTGAGCTGGATGAATACTCATAAGCTAAACAGTTCTGCTCCATGAATACGTTGTCGCACATTTGATGGAAGATAAACTAGTGACAAATGGACAAACAAGCTAGACAAAAGGATTGAGAGAACTGGTTCGCTTGTTGCATCTGTTTCATAGTGTGGATTTGTGATTGATATAACGAGAAATACTGAGTAGTAATAATTTTTCAGTTCGCAGATGCGTGATCATGAAAATGAAGGACACGTGTTGTGTAGCGGACAGTTGTTTTTTCATGGTTGGTAGTGGTGCAGCGTTTTGCTCCATTGGGAGATGAGACAGAGGCGGTAATCATGTTGTGCATCCGGATTCTGTGGCATTAATCTCCAATAATCTTACCGGTTGTCCAATTAAAATAATTGATCATATATCCGGTTCTCACACAAGTGATATACCGCAGTCCATCAGCCGATCCCACTCTGTGTCTAAAGTGCCATACACCGTAGGTCGGTATTCGCATCTTGTAACGCATAATTCCCATATGCGAATCTTCAGCACGCAATGGATGAATGAATGCTGAGGCGATGGCTAGATCTGTGACAACATTGATTCCTTTGATATACGCATGACCTCCAAAGTACGGTGGATAATAGTCCCATGGAAACTCATCTTCAGATATAGCCCATCGATTGTTAGAGTGTTTCCAGGGTCTTATGACTCTATGATTTTGCCACCGAATACCGAAGCTCAAATCCGGCAGTATTTCTGTGGAAAATTCCCGTACTAATCTGATCAGATTGCTTGGCATCACGGCAAAGTCGTGATCGAGAAACAGGAACAACGAGGACTCGTTGGCGCAAAACGCCGAGATCCAACGGAACGTGAATATCTGCTTCTGAGTCAATGAAAAGTAGTGATCTTCAAAATCGCCAATCAGTATATCATCAAACTGATTTGCCTCGGAGAACAATTCTCTTTTACTGTTCTCATAATCTTGTTTCTCATTCCCATGACTTCGATATTTGACTGATACTCCCTCGAAGTGAATATAGCCTGTGTAATTTATCGCAGGCATTCCAGTAACGAACACAAATCGAATCCGAAAATCGCCCCACAAATGTGGTTGCATGTAGGTTGCACGTGCCCACTGACGATCGCCTTGGCAACGGACGCATGACTTTATCACAACCACTGTCTCAGATCGATTTCTTTCATTTCCGTCGGGTTTGCAAAAGCCTCTTGGTGCCACGAGAACCGACATGTCTGGATCATTGATTGGCTTCTGAAGTAGGATGCGAAAGTGCGTAACGTGTTCATTAGAATGCATTCAGTTTGATAAAGTATTTTATTGCATTGCGTTTCTACTCGAAACTCCGTCAGTATCGTTGGAATGATATGTCGTAAACGAATTTCACTGCATGACTTCTACAATGGTTTCAGGATGTTGTTAAATGGTCAGATCTAGGTCGTGAAGCATATCTTTTTGTGTTAACAGAAGTCTATGAATTAGTTTAGTAAAACGACTTTGAATATGCTCTGTCAATGTGTCATTAACCGGGTTTCACTGGCGGTTTACCATAGAAAAGAGAAAATTTGAAGATTTGAATATCTTCATCATTTTTGATTCCAATATTGAAGTTCCAATACCGCACCGCTCATGTGTTCGGAAGATCGATTTGGGTGATAGAATCTAAACTTGGATTTGTATCATCAGGACTGAGATACACAATTGGAGTTGACTACCTCTCAATCTGACAGATTGATGAGGAAATCCTTATACCTATATACGCTGAGCAGGTTGTGGAAAATCTTCCTTTGCGAACGGCACTTTATTATACACGCGACTGACTCGCAAATCATCAGCGAAACGTCACATCGATGGGGAAGATGTAATGAGGTATATCGTGATCTTATCACACCGAAATCAGATTGAATATAACAAACCTATCTTCAGACCTTTGGATACATCAACCGTCTATGTATGCACCATACGAAAGTTGCAAATCGAGAGCCAATTTAGCATTTGGCTGCATTCAACAAGCTAGTCACAAACGTACCAAACAATTGTGTCACACATTGGAGTTTGGCCTTCTGATAAAAAAGCCTACCGATTTGGAACCGGAACGGCGGAAGAGCTACATACTTTCGTATCTGCAAAATGCATGGCAATGTGTTGGATGCCAAAATCATCAAGCCATCTTCTCGAATACAGAGCTAATGCGGGGGAACACTCTGGAGGCTTTTACCACACTGGGACGGATTAACAGTCTTAACCGTATTGTAAACTCTCGATAAAACTAATTAAATTACACAATCACTCAGTGATCGTTTGCATGTCTGAACGACGTTCGACTAGGTCATTTATTCAGGCCATAGCCGAGGCAGTAGCTACTCGCATCCAAGAATCCTACCGGTGTACACAAAAGCTGATTATTCACTCAATGAGATTGACATGATCCGATGGTATGACGCAGTCGACCGTTGTCCAGAGAACCAAACGATGACTGAATGATCGTGTGATGTACTAGATTGATTGCAACCGTGAGCCAACCACCAAATCTCACACTCTGGTTTATCTTGTGAGTCATGACTTTTGTTTTGACCCTCGATCGTATATTATTCTGGAGTTTTGAGAATAGATAATCTAAATGGTCTTTTGAATGGACAATAAAGAACTTCCTACAATTTACCATACTCACCCGAACCACTTTTTGTCCTTGACGTACTAGTGACACTGTTTCCTCGACATCAATCAATGGTGGGTATAAATGATAGTTATATTCAGTCGGATCCACCCGTAGTGTTTGTTCCATGATACGAGCTCTGTGTGTCATAGATCCACCCTTCAAATGTCCCGGGTACAAAATCTCCAACAGTTCATAGTACCTTTCCAACCGAGTATTGGAGTGATCGTTGATCTCCTGCTTTCGAACACATGGCTTAATAGCCAAATTAAACAGTCCAGTTTCAGGGTTTTGAATAGCCTTCGAGGAGTCTGGTGGCCAACGACACAACCGTGGATTTGTCCAACTCGTGATGTTGTCCAGGTACACATATGGTTTGAATACATCATGCGTGAATTCTGCTTTTTTGACGTAATAAATGCTCACCAGAAGTAAAACAACAGCAAACACGAAGATAATCGATGCATGTTTGTTCACGGCTTTCATTGTGCTCGCAATGACCTGCTTTCAAAACGGGTTTAGAAGTAAAAGCAGACGGGGTCATTACAAATGTATCAATCAGTATTTACCTTATCAAGGTAAACCAACCATTTCTTTTCTACTGTCACATGAAGCTGATTGGTGCATGTGATCTATTCGTGTAAGTTGCACTGTGCTTCAGATTCTAGCCACATTCCGTGGTAAAAATGTACTTGAATGACCTCATAATTAGAAAGGCTAACGAATCCATCACGGGGCAAATTTAATGGATGCTGTTCGCATATAATTTACAAACCGTAATCAACTGAGGGGTCACTGGTTGAAAGCAAATTATGACACATCCTGGTTGAAAGCTTCCTAAACGTTGTGTCCATGTCATAGGTAATTTTCACGCTCACGATTTGACGACTGGAAGTTACGAAATGTTGGAATGGTCCCAGGTGTCTTTCACAAATTTTATTCACATGATTTCTAGCTGTGTTTTATTGCTTTATGATGAAGGAAGCGATGCGTCTGATCGCGGATGCGTTAATTTTAGTCACTTGAATATAAGTGAATTATAACAAGCAAACCGTGTTAAAGCTTTGCGGTGATCAGTGGTCCATTTATGGAAACGAAAATTCTTAAGTGGAATTTTCATACTCCATACCGCTAGAGTACACCCATAAACCGCCAGAACATGCTGTTTCCAAGAGATTTGAGCAAAGTGTTGTGAAGTTCTCTACACACGTCTTTCTGTAGGCTGAAATTGGTGTGCATTTGCCGATGGAAAACACCTTTTGTCTCGAGAAGGGAGGTTCAAGCATTGTCCACAGCAATCTGCTAGATTATACCGATAGTTGGAAAATTATTCACGACGATCCGAAGTAAACGTTCCACCATGGAAGGAGTACCATGCTTTTGCGTTTTAATCAATTTCAAATACCGATGCCTAGCCGTTCTGTGTGCTTTATCAGATGATGTTTTAAGGTAAGAGTGATTCTCCTGAGGTTCCTATACTGATCTGTTTCAAAAAGAAGTGCGATTTATATAGCCACCTGGATTTTTAAAAAATGCAATGTCTTTGCTGAGTGGATGAATGTTGTCTACTCTTTAAAATTCTCATTGACGTTTTACTTGTTTCCTTGTATTTCTGTCCAACGAAAAGCTAACTCAGCCATTTGTTGAGGATTACTTGTGATACGGTTTCTTTGATTTGTTGGAGAAGATGAACAAGATTTGGTCATCATGACTACATAATAACAAAGATTGAGTTGCCCATTGTATGGTGTTCAAGGTGTAACAGGTTTGGACACTTGTTATTATCAATGAATGTGATTCGTGTTCATGTCTCATCGAAGCTTTTCTTTAATGGCATTTTTGTGTTTTCCTCGCTTGCAGATTGTCCGTACCATAGATAAACGCCTGTCTGTTGACGCTTCTATCCCGAATTGAGACTCGGCTCACATGCGGCTGTCCGGTGTGTCCGATCCCGATGCACATCCAGCTGCACACACGAGCCCAAGTATGCCACAAATTTTGTCGTCAAATACAGCATCTCAAAGTGGTTAACCCACATACAAGGAAGCACTGACGGTCATGTGAATATTATAACCGTGTTTGCTAGTATATTCCAAAAATGAGAAACAAGCTTCTCAATACAAACCATTCAATCCACGTCGGGTGTGCTGACGTGAACGACGTAACTAGCGGTAAATACAGTTGGTCGAGTAATAAGAACAAGTCAAAGGATCATCGAAAATTCATCCGATATCTCTTTTCACGTCCTTACAAGCCTGAATGAATCTGACAGTTTAACGGGAGCATAGAACACTACGATCAATATTGTTCACGCCCCAAACTCGGAATTGGAAGATAGCAAGATAGTCGGGGTTTACATGGGGTAACATTGCAGCTAGGCAGAATAGTACATCACAGAGAAGGACCAGTGAGCAAAGAACCTATCAACAGTGACAATGTTGTAATCTGTCCGGCTCAGACTACTTACTTTAGATTAGAAATTAACGAAATACCTCAGTCACATAAAGTTGGAAGGAGGCTTTCCGACCATCGTAGAATCATGGATAACTGGGAGTTATTCCTACAACCACACGTCTCACCCATTGAACTATAAGGATCACTCAGATGTAATCAGGCTGTGGAAAAATTCGATACATATGAATAATCATGTAATAAAGTTGACAAAATATGCGACGATGACGACTAACAAAAGAAGAAGCTGTCGGTGACAGGCTATTGCCATTGGCATTGTGTTAGAACGCAATAATCGATCCGGGAGATACAGAGAAAAAAAATAATTTCTGCTGGCTAGTGAATAATTTCAAATTTATTCTTGCGATTCAGGTGAAATCCTGTTAATCTTTTCATTATATCCCTATATCATTCTAAAGTATCTTATCAAGTGTTCCCGTAAATGACAGAAATATGTAGACAATTTTAGTTGACTCAAAGGAATCCGTGATATTCGAGAGGAACTTTACCTTGATGAAATTTACTCACTAGGCTATTGGGGGTCTAAACTGAACCCACTCATACATTGATTCGTTCCGACATTCACGTCTGGACATGGTCATTATGACCGATGTTCTGCTCCACTTCGGTGTGGTTCGCTTCCTTACACAACTGATAGAGGTCAATTACCGACGGGTTAGTTCGTTCTCGTTTAAAGTTAACACAACCAATGGTAAAGGATATACCGTACCCGGATGTGGTGGAAGGAGGACGAACAGTCAAACCCGACCCCACCCCACCAAACATATCATCCTCGTTCGGTACCTCACTCAAAAAGTATGTTTATTTCTCTATGAAGAATTCTCTTCTCTCTGAATCGATGGGGTTTTGATAGACCCGTTCCAATTAGTGACGCGTGAAGGCAGAAGAACCAATTACTGTGTTAGGTTCCTGGTATAAGGCGATTGTTATAATTCTCTTGAAGTTACAGCGGATTCATTTTGGAGTAAAAATCTGTGGTAACCACCTAATCAGTATGTTTTTTCTTCTGTTAATAGCATACACGAGTGTAGGATATCCGCTGAAATAAAAAACCACTTGATTCGTGTTTGCTATGTGACGAATGTGTGGTCACAGTGTGAACACACGTACATTGTGATGGATGCTTGAGGGTTATTCTAAACTTGGAGTTGTATGATATAACACCACATGTGACATAGGTAATATACAAACATTCTGGAAGCAAAAATATTGGGGAGCTATCAATAAGTACTACTTCCAGTCTACTACGAATCTCCAAGTCATTGTTGAACGTTTGAACGCCTGCTTTCATTGACTAAACTAAATGAACGAAATTCTTTTATTTCAGCGATGTATTTATGCAATTTTAGCGAAGTATTTCAGATAAACTTTTCCTATTAAGACCGATCATTTGAAATCTATGGGCTTAAGGATCACTAGCTGTGCACAGAATTAACAAATCTCGGGAATGTTCGATTGTGTCTCTAGCTGAAGCACGAGATAATACTCGAACAGGATACAGAACTTGGTGCATGTATATTCGAATGATGAACTATTGAAGAAAAGAGAGCTTCTGCTTCTGGGTACAACATTGACTCACTATGTGTTACTGTGCTCCCATTTACCACTCTTAGATTTTGATTGTGTAGATGGTAACCGGGAACAATGTGAATGAATTATGATGTGAGGTGTTTGATAAATGGGTACCCTCAAGGCGCGAAACTGATCCTTCAAACTCATACCAATTTATCTTTCTTAGGTGAATGACCTCGATGATACAAACAATCTACTAACAACTTTTAGTTTGAATGTGTCATCTTCTCACCAAAGGAGAACGTCCATAGTTTTTTTACGCAACCTACTCGGGATTCTACGTCAGCAATCAGGTGGTTACCGTAAAAATTTCATTACAACACATGTAATTATCTGTCAAGCTTTCACCGGGAATGTACATCATGACCACACTTTTAAAATTATTTGCTACTTGTGTTTCTTAATTTCCCAATTGCGATGTTTTGAAAAGTTCCATTGTATTTATTGACCCATTTTTTATATGCTTCGGTTGTTGTCTGATAGTAAAAACTGCAATTCTTTGCTGGTTTGTTAAAATCAATTCCGAAGTTGCACTTGGTCAACTTTATCGCCAGTAAACATTTCACCACTTGGGAACACTTCTGTCAGAATCCGTGACCACCATCACACCACCATCGCACCGTACTGCCAAATAAAGGAAAGATTAGGTCACTCGCTAGCACACTGGTTTCACGCCAAGTTCAAGCAAGTTAGACTGTGAATGTAACCGAGGTATTCCGTCCCCTGTATCTAGTTCGTGGTCGACTATCAAGGCAGGTTCGATGTCGTATACTGACCACAGCGGAAGCTGTGGGAATTTGTCTGCACAACCCCTCTCTCTGTGCCCGAATACAATTTGTGCAGGCGCTTAAGTTCCCATGGCCCAGACCCCACACCATATTCCGAGTGGTCCCAACGAGCGGATGATCTAATAATTATGTGATCATTGAGCATTCCACATCCAGCCCGAAGAAAAATATAGCCCCAAATAACCTATGATGTTATTTTCCCTTTCCAAATATAGTTGTTTCTTTTAAATGGTTGAAAACAGTTTTATATATAAACAGCGTGATATTTATTGCGATCTATTTGGCAAGACTACGATTCACTGAAAACTAGCTTGGTGGCCACTCTTTGATCAATTTTAAACGTGCTTCGTGGGACTGTTTAGGTTATTAAATGGAATTCGTTTTCATGTTTATACGTCACTTTACTTTCCTGAATGTACGACGTTGTATTTTTCCTCAGTGACTTGGGTTCACTGAGCTAGAAATCCATCCATTTGGATGATAAAGACAATTCAATGGTAGCGACTGGACAAATTAGTTGGCGGATTTTTGGTTTAACCCATTTGGTTTTGCAGTCACCAGGTACTGTTGATGATATTAAGTGTGGGTTTCAAGCCTTAGAGATCAAAAATTCCCCACTATTTGAAAGCATTCGATTGCTTTGAAAATGCTTGA